TTTCAGGCTGGACATAAGGAAGAATTTCTTTACTGTCCGAGCCCCCAAGGTCTGGAACAGCCTGCCACCGGAGGTGGTTCAAGCGCCTACATTGAACACCTTCAAGAGCAAACTGGATGCTTATCTTGCTGGGATCCTATGACCCCAGCTGACTTCCTGCCCTTTGGGCAGGGGGCTGGACTCAATGATCTTCCGAGGTCCCTTCCAGCCCTAATGTCTATGAAATCTATGAAAATCTAGACAAATTACAAAGGTGGGCAGATGAGACTAGGATAGAACTCAATGCAGACAAGTGCAAGGTACTGCATGTAGGGAGAAGGAACCAGCAACACGCCTACAGGCTGGGGAACACCCTTCTTGTCAACATGGTGGCAGAAAGGAATCTTGGAGTCATTGTTGACTCAAAGCTGAACGTGACCCGCCAATGCGAGGAAGCGGTCAGTAATGCTAACCACACCTTGTCATGCATTTACAGATGCATCACAAGCAGGTCCAGGGAGGTGATCCTTCTCCTCTACATGGCATTAGTCAGGCCACAGTTGGAGTACTGCATCCAGTTCTGGGTGCTGCACTTCAAGAGAGATGTGGCTAGCATTGAGAGGGTCCAGAGGAGGGCTACTCGCATGGTCAAGGGGCAGCGGGGCAGGCTCTACGAAGAGAGGCTAAAGGGCCTGAACCTATTCAGCCTCCACTAGAGGAGAATGAGAGGGGATCTGGTGGCCCTTTACAAACTCACCAGGGGGGACCAATGGGAATTGAGGAAGGCACTGTTCCCTGTGGCACCACCAGGGGTTACTAGGAATAACAGCCACAAATTATTAGAGAGAAGGTTTAGGCTGGACATCGGGAGACATTACTTTACAGTTAGGGCTGCCAGGCTCTGGAATGGGCTCCCAAGTGAGGTGGTACTCTCTCCTACCTTGGGGGTCTTCAAGAGGAGGCTGGACAGACATTTGGCTGGAGTGATATGACCCTGGCACCCCTTCCTGCCCGGGGTAGAGGGTCAGACCTGATCTGTTTAGGTCCCTTCCGACCCTAAGCACTGTGATACTGTGAGTTAGACTAGTTCTGCTTGGAGAGCTCTTAATATCCTCTTCCTACTATAACATCCTTAGGCTTCTAGAGCTCTACAGAGACATGTCTTTTGTCTATGAAAGGAAATATTTGAGAAGGAAGCACCTAGAAGGTTGAGTGATGGATCAGGGTGACTTTATAGTATAAAGAGATCAGAAGGGGAGGTATACATATTAGTGCTGTGCTTCACCACCTTGAATGGAGTTTACCTGGAAGGAAAGAAACAGATTTTAAATACACAAATGGTGGAACAGCCTTTGAATTATTTGGATAATTTAGATGTTTGCTATTGTTCTATAACTACAAGAAATTGAAGTGCTAGACTCTAACTTGTAGAATAGCAGAGTTAAAGTGGAGTTTTATCAGGTTGCATCTGCTTTCAAAATCAAGTGTTTTGAACATTAGAACTTGCATGCTTTGCAAGTGGGATATAAAATAAACACCTTACCTGAGGTTAAGCAGCTTTTGGCTAAACCTTTCCTGATTTTTGTATGATTTCATTTGGAGGGAATGGAAAAAAGGCCTTGAAGGACTGCAGCCCTAACAATTTGGGAGAACAGAACCAAGATTTTGAATTTGATTCAGAATTTTCTGGGAAGTTGATGGCAACATCCAGCACCAGTGTGCTGCGTTTGCAGCAGCTTTATTATACAACAGGTAGGCTGCCACAGTTGCCACCAGCTGAAGCTTTTTTCAGGTGGTCTCCTTCATATTCAGATAAATGTTTGAAATAGAGTTTAAAGGTCGTACATTTGAGGTATTCCAGGCTTGCGGTTCAATAACCAAATTGAATGGAATGGGATTTCACAGAACAGAGAGTTACTGGAACAACTACAAGTAAACTTAGCAATTGCCATGAATCACTCATTTTGACACTCTCTCTCTCAAACTTGTATTGACTTGGAATATTGTACATTCAAAAGTGTACTTAACAGTGTAATTGTAAAATTAGGACTTCCTCACATTGTGCATGTGAAAGCAGTCTACTCAGTCAATTTATTTATTTCATAGGTTTATAGAAAACTAGGGCTGGAAGGGACCTCAAAAAGTCTACTCCAACCCCCTGCCCAGAGCAGGACTGTTTCCCAAGCGGATCATCCCAGCCAAGGCTTTGTGTACCCAGGCCTTAAAAACCTCCAAAGATGGAGCTTCCACCACCTTTCTGGGTGACCTGTTCCAGTGCTGCACTCCTCTGCTAGGGGGAGAGGTTTTTCCTAATATCTAACCTGATCTTTCCTTGTAACTTGACCATTGGCTTTTTTGAGTGTCTGTTATCACTGAGAACAGTCCAGCTCCATCCTCTTTGTAACAACCTTTTGAGGTATTTGAAGGTTGTTTCTGTTGTTAAAGGGCAGTGCGCTGGAATTGGCATCCCTTTAATATGACTCAATACGCATGTAACGTCCACGGGGAGAGGGGGCTGCTAACACAGCCTCGGCCTCCTCCGAGCTCTGGCAGCACAGCTGTGCTGTCCGAAGCACCTGTCTGATCTCCTCTGGGTCTGGCCTCGCCCTTGCGGCTCCCCGCTTGATTTCTGTCATTAAACCGAGTGCCCAGATCTCAGGCCCGGCAGCGCCCCCGCCCCGGCCGGGCAGCCGGTCCCGGGCGGCCCAGCGAGGTG